TCCAGCACTAGATAAGCCACCTATACAACTAAGAGAAATTGCAGCAGTTAACTCTGCTCAGTAGAAAGATAACCGGTGTGGTGTTTACAGTGATGCACGCAGAAAAGGGCCAGGACGGACCCCTACCTGTTTTTTTTTCCTGAAGCCCCCATTCCGGTGACTTGATTGCTCCAGTGGTACTTGCACCTTTATTGTATGAATAGGAATGGGTTAGGAAAGGCCTCCTGCATACTTACCTATAAGCCCCATTTCTGTTCCCCTCCCTTCTCCAGTGGCGCCTTCACCCTTTCTGTATCAGTAGGGAAGAGCTGGAACAGGCCCCTACATGCTTACTTGAAGTCCGTGTTTTGGTGCCATGCTTACTACAGTCTGGGATGGGACATGACCCTACCTACTTATGTCTAGTCCCAGTTCTGGTACCTCACTTGCTCCAGTCAGGTTCACCTTCAGTAGGGAGGGCCCTGGACAGGACCATACCTGCTTAGCTGAAGCCCCAGTTCTGGTTCCTTGCTTGCTCCAGTGGTAGTTTCACCTTTTATCATTGGGGAAGGGCCAGTACAAGACCCTAACCACTTATTTGTAACACGGTTCTGGTTCCTTGGTTGCTCCGGTGGTAATTTCACCCTTTCTGTATCAGTAGGGAAGGGCTAGGACAGGACCCTACCCATTTACCTGAACCCCAGTTCTGCTTCCTCGCTTGCTCCAGTGGTAGTTTTACTCTTTCTGTATCAGTAGGGAAGGGCTAGGACAGGACCCTACCCATTTACCTGAAGCCCAGTTCTGGCTCCTCGCTTGCTCCAGTGGTAGTTTCGCCCTTGCTGTATCGGTAGGGAAGGGCCAGAACAGGACCCTACCCATTTACTTGAAGCCCAGTTCTGGTTCCTCGCTTGCTCCAGTAGTAGTTTTACTCTTTCTGTATCAGTAGGAAAGAGCCAGGACAGGACCGTACCCATTTACCTGAAGCCCAGTTCTGGTTCCTTGCTTGCTCAAGGGGTAGTTTTGTCCTTGTTGTATCAGTAGGGAAGAGCCAGGACAGGACCCTACCCACTTACTTGAAGCCCCAGTTCTGGTTCCTCGCTTGCTCCTGGGGTAGTTTCACCTTTTCTGTATCAGTGGAGAAGGGCCAGGACAAGACCCTACCCACTTATTTGTAGCCCGGTTCTGGTTCCTTTTGTTGCTCCAGTGGTAATTTCACCCTTTCTGTATCAGTAGGGAAGGGCCAGGACAGGAAGGACCCTACTTACTTACCTGAAACCTTGTTTTGGTTCCTCTCTTGCTGCATTAGTATATATTTGCTGTGTGTAGCTTGTGCCCGCACCCTCTGCAGCTTCCACGAAATGGCCAACTCTGATAAGGGGCTGTATTTCACTTGCCTACTTTTGTGCCTTTCTCAAGTTTACAAATATAAATTAGCATGAGTTATTTCTACACTATAGCTAAACCTAAAAGGGACAATTCTTTTTCAGGCATGTACTGATGTACGGTAAGTGTAGGGACTGTGCCTGAATTTTAGCCTTCTTGAGTCAAGTTGGATAAGCTAGAAACTGCCAAAAAAAAAATCACACAGAAAATCTGCCATATGATTGGGACATTTTGGGAGCTTCTACTGAGACACTGTGCCCTGTAAACTGGATCAGCACCATACAACAGCGAAGGGGAACCAAACAAAAAAACTGACCAAAGGCTTTAGACATCTCTGTGGAGTGGTTAATTTTCTGTCCTGTAATGTTGTTATGTAATAATATGGCTTTTGTAAGTGCCAAATACCTGTCCTGATATGACATATTTGTTGTGTGGGCCACCAGTGGCTTATTTGGGTGCACTAGCCCCCCACATTCTTCTGTGACTTATCAGCTGCTGTAAATAACCTGGTTTCTCATTTTCTTCAGGCGTCTGATGAAGTATCTACACACTTCTGTTTATAGCGTTGCGTCCGTGATTTGGTTGGTGAGATATTTGTCAGTGAACACTGTGTTATGGTAGATTGCAAGCAGCATACTTGAAATTATACTTAGTGACACTAAACTCAGGAGTTGAATCTTCAAAATACATTAAAGTACCCTAACTATTAACAAAAATGTATCTTATTTGTGTATCACTCGGCTGTAGATCCTCAAATCATCTCTGAATTGGTGCCGACAATGTCCTTTCTGGAGGGGGGCGACTTTTATTCCCCATGGTCTCTGTGTACATTATAAGGTAGTCGCCACTCCAAGCTCAGTCCCGTGATAGACTATAACTTCAATACAAATTAGTAAACTAAACATTGTAGTCTATCACGGGAGTGAGCTTGGAGCGGTGACTACTTTACAACACACACAGGGGCCATGGGGAACAAAAGTAGCCACCCTCCAGAAGGAAGGGCAGTGTCAGCACCAATTCAGAGATGATTGGAGGATCTACACCCGAGTGATACACATATAAGATACATTTAAGGTACTTGAATGTATTTTTAAGATTTAACCTCTGAGTTTAGTGTCACTTTAACTGCACCCTCAAAATTGTCATAAGCGGTACAGGGCAGAGAAGTATTCCGTACAGTGTGTAAGGTATTATAAAAGGAGCAGGTATTGCCATCTGCTTGCATCAGACATTCATTGAGTGCACTCTGCACTTCCATAAACTTACCACTGTGACTGAATAATGGTTCGGCTGTAATAAGAGGATTGATGGACAAGTACTATGAGGGACAATTTACCTTTTAGCGATCCATTGCAGCTCATTGATACTTGTTACTTTGTGCGTGGCATTAGGGAAGCCCATACATTAGGAATTGAGTGCCAATGCACTACAATGATCAATAAACGCACATGACCCTCTTTGATGCTTCCCTCACCTTGGCTCAGTAGTTGGAGACACTGCCACATGTTCATTGAGGGCTTGTTCATACCATGGCCATTGAGCTGCTTTGTTCTGCAAACCACCGCACATGTAGGGGGTACACGGGGCATAAAAATAACTTTGCTTTGTGCCTTGTTCACACCATACATGTTCGGTTGTGTGCAGAAAAACGCAACTCAACAGACGTGTTGTGGACCAGCCTTTAGGGTAGAGTAACGGTGGCTCCTGATAGCTTTTGTGAATGTGACCCCCTTAAATATTCCTTTCAGGTTTATATGACGTTTAGTCACATGGGGGATATCATATCAGCCCCCCAGATCCAGAAGCCCAGCTTGCTGGAGCAACAGAGCGCCGACGGATGAGTATACATTGCTGGGGCTATCATGAGGCACCGTTCTTTGCTCTGAATGGGTAAAGTGACCGGGTCTCTTTAGAGTAACCTGGTGCTGGAGTAGGGGAGCTGACACTATTGACCTATTAAAAATGGTGGTTGCCTGGCTTTTGTTTGCCTATTTCATATGGAACTAGCACGCATCGCCCAAATAAGGTGTTGAATAGCAGCCAGGGAATAAGGATTTGTGAATGTGACCCCCTTAAATATTCCTTTCAGGTTTATATGATGTTTTTCTGGCTGTAGTTCCTTTTGTATTTTTAGGCAATTCTCTGTAAGCGTGTTCTAAGGACGCAGACTTTTTAAACTTTGAGTATAAAAAAAAGTGTGCTTATGTGTGCAAGACTTGCAACTGCAGTATTTTTTACAGAAATAAATGCAATCTGTCAAAAATCCGACTCGTCTCTACAGATCAATGTCCAGCAAGAGGATTGATTCTTTTATTAGCAGCAAGAAATTGTACAGCTCTTAAAGGGAAACACCACCAAGAGTTCATTATTAAACATGGAGCAGGCCTTTTACTAGTTTAATCACATGCCAGCTTACTTCCAAGATTTGGGGATTCAGAACAACACAAAGTATGACTTGGAGAATGTTCTTCTTAGCATGACAGTTGTTGGAGGTCAGGCTGAGACCAGTAAAATAAATGTTCCTGTCCAATATCCCAGAAAATACTTAAAGGAACTTTACCCAATTTAATGTCTCCCAAAGCAGTTATTTTTAAGGTATAGCAACTGTCAAAGATGCCACTGGGCTCATTTCAGCTCTCACCCGAATGTTCACGTCCCCAAATGGCTGGTGTCATAGCTGATCACATGTGCAGGACCATGGTAACTGCAATCCAAATGGAGGCCAACATGGCACCTTCCTTGGTTGGAGGTCTACTTTAAGTCCAGTGAATTCTTCAATATCCTGCCATTTCCTGCTTTGTTTATGAGTAGATGACAGGAGAAAGGATGGAGAGGTCATCCCACTGACCTCCAGCCAAGGCATTTCTGCTGATCCGACAATATAGGACAGGGAGGAGTCCTTCCCCCAATATGGCCACTCCAGGTTTTGGGATCTTGTTCTGAATATTTCGTGTCTCCTTTAGTCAGAGTTCTCAGCAGTAGACACTAAGTGCAATTATATTTCACCAGCCCACACGTTCAAAGCAGAGAGTACGATTCTTAAAGTAGGCCTCCACCTAAAACGTCAGCGGGACTCGCCCAGTGTCTGACCATCTTTATTGCTGGAGGTAACATTAGAAAGTGGAGTCACAGAGGGGGCCTAACTTCACCTTCATGGAAACTGTCCTAAAGTGCTAAATCTAGAGTTCTCCTCAATGTGAGTCAGCACGGCAAGTTTAGTTTCCTAACACGTGTGTCATATTATAGGATCTAATGAGGGAAAAATTCACAGAATTCTCCCCTTCTCTTTGTAGAGTTCCATCGCTGATCGCGTCTCTCCCGCCACAACCTGCCAGCATTGCATGTACTACATGGGACTTGTCTATTGGGGGCACAGTGTGTTACGAGAGATGGTATCAGCTGTGAGCGGAGCACCGGGTTGTAGGGATGTCGGTTCGGCTGTGGGCGGAGCACCGGGTTGTAGGGATGTCGGTTCGGCTCTGGGCGGAGTGCCGGGTGGTATGGATGTCGGTTCGGCTCTGGGCGGAGCGCCAGGTGGTATGGATGTCGGTTCGGCTTTGAGCGGAGCGCTGGGTGGTAGGGATGTTGATTCGGCTCTGAACAGAGCGCTGGGTGGTAGGGAGGTTGATTCGGCTCTGAGCGGAGCGCTGGGTGGCATGGATATCCGTTCAGCTTTGCTCTTTCTTCTCTGTGCTGTTGTGGAACAATGAGGGTTCGGGGTTCTTATTGTCCACATCCATCCAATAAGGTAAAATGAAGGGGAGAGCGCCGAGCTTCTTCTCCAGGATTGGCCACAATCTGGACTCCAGGAACTCGTTCCCTTTGTCTGATAAGTGAAGCCCATCTGACAGGTACACTGTGCAGTCCTGAGGTCACATGACATGAAATATCAGGACAGATGGAAATACTCAACACGTCACTTCTTATGGTTACATTCTATCTACTTCTAAAGGTTACAGTGTACCAAGAACAAAGATGTCACACATTGATTGCAACCTAAGCACTCAAGCATCACGTTCTCAATCAATTCATCCCCACACAGCTACCTCCTCATGTATCACTTGCCCCTCCATTATATTATTGTAAGCCCTCACGGGCAGGGCCCTCCTCACCATCTTGTCTTGCATTGTGATTGTAATGTCTTCCCTATATTGTAAAGCGCTGAGCAAACTGTTGGCGCTATATAAATCCTGTATAATAATAATAATAATGTAATAAATCATGAAATCCTCACCTGACCCCCATCCTGCATTAGCGTCCACAGATCCAGAACCTCCGTGCCGCATTCTTGGCCAACATGAACGCAGGCTTTGGCGTATTCCCCGGCTATGGAGTTCAGCCGATTCAGTTTATATCCTGGAGGATGATGGCATAGATGAGGACATATACACATCAGATCACACCACGTACACCAGACTGTCCCAGGAGGTTTCTACTTCTGAGCCTTAATCACACTTAGGTTGGTCACAGTCAGGCAGATAGCTGCAGGAGAACAATGAAGAGGTCTGTCCTCGAGCACGCCGATATCTGCCACCACGGGCCCGGCGTCGGCGCCGTGTCTTCTTGTATTGTACATTTCAGATCCAAAAACCAATACTTACCATCACCACAACCTAACCTCCAAATCTAATGTATGAACCCAGCACCCCAAGGCTCAGGATTACTTTGCACCTATAGACGAGGGGTGGACAAGTCTGAACACATGTGAAGATAGATCACCGGCACATATGGTGGACTCTGCGTGGCAGTTTTCACTTTATTTACAATAAACAATCATTTATCTGCATTTTGGAGTTCCTGGACATGTGACAAACATGGAGAAGTAGTACGTCACAAATTTGGTGACATGCGTTCCACATTTTTTTCCTGCGCATTCTCACGTGTACGAATGCCCAGGGAAAACCACGTTTGCTTCACCACATTTGGGGTGCCATTGCCTAGTAATAGCAATGCATGTGTGTTCCTGTGTTTGTGCATGTCTCATGAATGTACATTGAAGCGAGCACTTTTGTGCACGTTTAACGCACGTTCACGATACACCCTGATGTGAACGGGGTCTGAGGTTCTGCACGGCACCCTCTGTGGCAGTCACTTCCAGCACCTACTGTACCTACATTGGTCATAGCACCGTATGGTGCGCAGCAGGCACTTTCAACAATCTGTAGTCTTAACACACTTCCTGTCCTCGGATGACAACACTGCTCCACCACAGATATAGTACAGTGACCGTTGTCACCCTGGAACAGGAAGTGTGTTACTGGCAGGATCACCAGGTGAAAATAAAGGAAAAAGAACCTGAAAAATAAAAACAAATGCAGCTGCCACATCTAAAGACTGGGATGCCGCAGTATATGACATTTGTTTTGGGGGGGGGGTTCAAATACATGACTCCAGATCATATCATGAAATGATTCCTTTCAGTGATTGTTTTTTGTTAATAATGGATTTTAATTAAATTGCATGCTGATCACCTGACACAGTGGTGACGCCCCCCCCAGTCACATGATGGCCGTGATGTAAGCTATGAAGCCGTGTCATACCTTTCATAAAGCACTGCTTCTCCCAGGAGGGCTCGTGGATGGGCGGCGGGGTGATCAGGATGATTCTGTCGGCTGTGATGTCCACTGACTGCAGATAACGGATCATCGTCCTCAGATTGTCTGTGTACTCGTCCAGAGGAACGTGCTGCTGAGGGTTCTCCTCTGTGGAAGGAGAGAGAGAAGAGCGATGAGTATATAGAATGTTGTGTCCCTGACAATCCTTCATCCTCCAATCACCAATCAAGGACGTTCCTGCACAATATCTAGAATACAATCAATCATGCCGCCGCCTCGGAGCGTCATGTGATCATGTCTGTACACTGATTGCTGCAATAATGGATTGCATGGTGTATGGATTATGGAGTCTCTCCCCCCTGGACCCCCAGCAGTGGGATCTCAGCTCCGTCCACCTTCCCAGTGAGAGGGACCCAATCTCTGCAGCAGGAGGAGAGAGACTGGTGGGGAGCAAAGTCATGAAATGCATTGCCCATACAGCACATGTTTGCTATTAGAATATATGGAGGGCGGACATGAAGATCATCCCATAGCAAAGCCCTCTGTGGCACTAGGACAGGAAGTGAAGAGAAATCTCCCCAATAGGGATACAGGTGGTTGTGCACCTTACTCTGAAAGCCAATTACAAAGTGATTTGTGTGGTTGCCATATGTGGATTAGGCGTCGTGCCTTCACTAGGACTGCTGACAGCGTGCATGTTCTGTGACACGACAGCCAGGAAACTGGCATTTCTCAGAAAGGGATCGGCAATGGCAGCCCCTATATGTGCCTCAGGATAGGGCTCCTTCCATCAGAGTATTGACTGAGGTAATGTGTACAACAATAAGTCTATGTGCTCCAATACACAACAGGGAGACCCAAATTCACAAAGAACAATTGACCATAATATACGACGCTGATCATCACCCCACATGAATCATTCGAGGGGCACAACATGAATTGAACATCCCCGGGGCCAGCTTGGTTTACCTTTCAGGGAGCCGTCATTGGCACCAAAGAAGATGGTGACTGCGGCAGGCGGTTCGGAATCGGAGCACTTGGTGATCAGCTTCGGAAGTATGAGCTTTGCCCATCTGGTGTTGTAGCCGGACAGACCGCGGTTGAGGACGTCACACTTCCTGTCATGGGAAGAGAAGATATGATTATAGACACTGGGGTCACATTTGGGGGTCAGATCTATGCTGCTCATTCTTTTTATCTATCTACATATATCATTTTAGAATAACACACACACACACACACACACACACACACACGTCAGGTGTATCTGAAGCAAACTAAATCCAATCCATTTGAAAGCCCTTCCTAAGGGTAGACACCATAACATGCCTCCTATGAAAACTCCTCCAGTGCTCCTCTCTGATTTCGTGTCACTCTGTTATTCTTGGCTTTGCTCCACCAACTGCCACCACCCTGTGCCATGAAAGCACTGTGAGTGTCCAATGAAGCAATCTCAATGGAAAGATGGATGGTGGGGCTCACCACTGAAGCTTTAGGGGCTTGTGGTACCAATAGGCATCCTAAAAGGCAAATGTAAGGCTAGCAGGAAGATTGGCGGATGCGGTGAGATAGGCGGCGGTGTTAGAGCCACGCTGTCATCGGCTCTCTTTCTGGCCCCTCCGAGCTCAGTGACAGTCACTCGGGGGGACATCAGCCACAGATGTAGAGAAGGCTTGTTGCACTCCTTACCAGATATCCCAGCTGTCGGGGGAGGGCGCTTGTAATGACTGTGGATGGCGCCGCTTGCCGTACATTATATAAGGAACGTCACCAACACACCAAAAATCCTTTTGAGGATCACCCAATGTTCATTTATTCAGAACCATGTCAGGTTTAAACAAGCACTTTCGGGCCCGCGCAGGATCCCTTCATTAGGCTTGCCATTGACGAGCCTGATGACGGAAACCTGCACAGCTCCGAAAGCTCTCGTGTAAAAAGGATTTTTGGTGTGCTGGTGACGTTCCTTATATGATTTACATCAGCCAGAGAGTCCAGCTCAACAAACTGTCAACCGATGATGTCATTGAGTTGGGCGGGAAGCTGGACAGAGCGTCACCAATTGCTAGGAGCTCTTAGCAACCTGGGATGCTGTGGCTGCCCCTCCTAATGAGATGCCGCCTGTGTGCGACCACCTCAGGCTCCCTTATTATAGGGAAGGGCCTGGGCGGTAGAGAGAGTTATTAGCCCCATGCACCTCGGAGCTTAAACTTGGCTTCCTCTCATTGCTCTGTGACAGTGAATGGAGCAGTGGGTAAGTGAAAGATGGCCATGAAACCCTATTCGTCACTCCAGAGACCACGTCTCCGCTTCTCTAGAGTCCAGGGGCGGGCGTGCTTTACACCACTGCATCCCACGCTTTTGTTTAGTGATGGGCTAGGGCGTGTTCGCAGCTCCACGTGCAGAGCCCGCCAGGAAGCTGACAGCGCCAATCACAGGCACTGAGGCATTTCCCAATCTCTGCAGCTGCGGACCGGGAACATGTCTTAGTACCTGTGATTGGCGCTGCTCGCTGTCAGCTTCTGGCGGGCTCGCCACGTGGAGCTACGAACACGCCCGAGCCCATCACTAATGGTGATGTAAGGTTTGGGTGCAGCTGCTCGGCCATGGAAACCCATTCCATGAAGATCTCTACTCATTGTTGTTGTGCCAATCTGAAGGCCACACGAAGTTTGGAGGTCTGTAGCTATTGACTCTGCAGACAGTGGGGGACGGCTTACCAGTCATTACATGCTGTGGTTGCATTTGATTTTTTTCCTTTATTTTCACCTGGTGATTCTGCCAGTAAGACTTTTCCTGTCCTAGGATGACAACACTCACGCACCCTACTGTGACAGGACAACAGAAACAAGATAGGACTACTGGACTCCACCCCTCTCCTCGAATCCATAACATAGAGGGGTATATTGAACAGACCCAAAGGGACCAAATAAGGGAAGTCCATTGTCAGGCTTCACATACCCTGTAAGTAAACCTTCTGCATTGCCCTGCATGGAGAAAGCACAGGTTCATGTGAGTCATGGACGCTCCAACTCACCTCACAAGTTTATTAGCCAGGGTGGCTCCCCATCCATTCGCCTCAAAGGCAAACTACATAGAAGGAGAAATCATCAAATGAACAGATTTTACAGTCGATGTCTGGGAATACATATAATGGAAAGTACATAATGATCTGTAATGGAACAGACAAGGGTAACCTCTCTGCAGGGCTGGACAAAGTCCAGGGGCCACGGCGCCAATGCTCCTTAAAAATGAATGTTTTGGTTGTCAGTGGAGTTAGCTCCGAAAAATCTCCTGCTGGCTCCTGGATTGGCCAGACTGGCTCCTGAATTCCATAATAATTTGTTCACCCCTGCCCCTCTGGGAACCTTTCTGGGTCTGGGAAGTCCAGTTTTTTTTTTTTATCATGGCAGATCAGATACTGATTGGCACAAGCTGGCTGGTGGGCAGCAGCACAAACACTCATTCATGTTGAGCCGTGATATCTACGGAGAGTACCAGTCAAGTTTGGCATGGAGGCATCTTAAATGGAATTCAGCCGAGACAAAGCAATCCTTCCCGGGTCAGTTCAGGGGAAATCCATTGCAAAGATATTAGTAAGCAACATACGGGATTCTTACCTGCTTCTGCTTCATAAATACTAAGAGAGGTCATTCAGCTAACTACCAAAAGGTGCCCGTACACTGTGCCAATTGCAGACGGTTTTTGAGGAATCGGCCAAAATTCACAGTGTGTGCTGCTGTCTGCACCTTTTTGGGCCGGCATCCCTGACATCAAGGCTGACTCCGCCCATTTGTTTTCATTTGGACGGGACTTGCAATAGCGATTTGACAGTTGCGGCCAAATGTCAACAGATAGGCAGGGTCAGCGGGCGTTGTTTTTTTTTTTTTAATGTTGTTGAGTCGGCGTTGTCGTGATTGACCCTTGGATTACGGCAGTGGATCAATTTCTGGGATTTCTTTTTTTTATTAAAGGAATTGTCAAAAACTTTTCTTTTGTATTTTTTTTTCTCAATTTAATGATTTTATTTCTAAAAGTCTGGTTTCTTTATTTACGTTTTTATTGAATTGGT